GTCTTCTTTGACCACAAAATTGTGAAACTTTTGCTCCACGTCAGCCATAACTGCATAAGGGTCAGACCAGAAACGCACAAGCACTCCCACAACACTGTTGTTGAGATCTGACCCTTTAAGCAGAACATCATTGAGAGAGACATTGTCACATTGAGCACTTGAGTCGAACACTATTCTGATTTTTCCAGGCTTTTGTGGGTGGTATATGCCAAAGCTAGGGAGATACCAGCATTCTTGCTCGGGGGTGAGAGGAGGGGCAGGTTCTGCATGGCCCTTCCTAAAGATTTTCTCCATGAACTCTCCATGAACTTTCATCTCAGTTTTCCTCTTCCGCATTTTGCGAAGTGACATCAGATGAGTGAGGGCCTTTTCCCTATTATTGGGCAGGTGCTGCCGTGGGGAATGAAATGGGAGTGGAGCTACCCAACTATTTGCCTCATCTTTTGCAAACTCGTTATGCATAATGTTTAGGAATGATGCATCCTCCACTGAGAGAGCTACTTTGTCATCATCTGTGGTTTGCTTGAAAAGGTGTTTACCTAGTTCGTCACTCGCATTGTCAAGAGAGGAGCATTTTTCTGTGTACTTCTCTTTGGGGTGGATTGTGTTCTTACAAGGATGAAGAAACTGGGCCGCCCATTGTTGAGAACATTTGTCTTAAAAGAGTTCACTGTGGGTTTGTGGGCACCTGAAAGGCAAACGTCTCCTACAATCACCCATCCTAAATCAAGGCATTGAGCATAAGGTGCATCGTGAGGGCTATTTTCCGCAGATGAACATGAGCAGCAGCGGCTTCTGGAGTGGGTATCTCGCTCCTGTTGTCTGGGATCTGGTCACATTCAGTCAGTGTGGGCAGCAACATAGACACTTTCCCACTTATGTCCTCAATAACAAAGTCATTAGCCCTGCGGCCTCCTGTGTCTGATAATCCTGCACATGTTTTAATGGTGTATGGGAGTACGCTGCCTTGTACGCCAAACATATCAAAAAAGGCAGATTTAGCCAATGACAGATTGCTTTGATCGTCCAACATGGCACACATCTTTCTTTTGTTTTCAGGGGATGCTTGTGGGTAAACATTGACTAAGCAGATCTTTGCACATGATTTACCTTGAAGTTCTGGGCCACATACAGTACATACTGTACTGTTCTGTACAGCTGGACGTGGTACCTGTAGGGCTTGGAGTGCTTGGCTCCCCACCATCACTCTGTGGAAGTGTGTCAGAGTCTTTAGGTAACCATGGGGGTGGTCCGGCATGCATGGCTGAAATGTGCGCATCACTATTGCACTCTGAGCAGTGAATTACAGCTTTACAGTCTCTGGCCCTGTGATTTGTAGACGAACAACATCTGTAGCATATGGAGTGCTCTTTAAGCAGGCTCTTCCTCTAGTCCAGTGTCTTCATTCTGAAGCCCCTGCACTTGGTGAGAGAATGTGGCTTGCGGTTAATGGGTCACTGCTGGTCTGGGCTGGGAAGGGGAGTTTTGACGTTATTTGGTTTGTCAACTAATGTTTTATTCACTGCAATAGGGACTCTGTATTTGGTACGTTTTACTTGCATCTTGTCAAACTTAGGGGAAGGTGTGCTATGGCTCTGTAATATGAAGCTAGGGTCTGTTTTCATTTCAGCATGGCTGTTCATGAACTGCACAAAGTATGAGAAGGGTGGATAGACAACATCATAGTCTTTTTTGTATTTTGACCCTTGTTTGATCCATGACTCTTGGAGACTGTGCGGGAGCTTCTCCACTATTGGGTTTATCCCCCTGGAGGTGTCGAGAAAACTAAGACCTGGTAAATAGCTTTCATCTTTTGTATATTGTAGCTCAAGAAGAAGATCTGCTAGCTCTTGTAGTAGAGTTGAGTTTTCGTGAGAGATCTTTGGGAACATTTCTAAGCATTTGAAGAGGGATGCTTCAATTACCTCTGCCGAACTGTAATTTCTGTCTAGACATTGCCATAAGTGCTCAAGACCATCTCCTGGGTTGCAGAACATGGACTTCCAGAATACATAGAACTCTGGCCTGTTGTCAAAAACCTTAAAGCCTGCTGTTAGCAGATCGCGGTGTGCTAGGAAGGCTGCTGGGTCTGGCATTTCAGTTCATGGGGTGTGTGGTGGTCTAGGCCGGTGGTAGGGGCTGTATAACTTTACATAGTTAGAGGAGTGTTGACTTGGATGCTCTTTGGGTGTGTGGTCAGCATGATACTCACGCGAATGTACTGTGGGGAATGAGTTGCTCATATCTGGGTTGGGAGTTTTAGTGTAGGGTTGGTTGGTAGTGAACTGTTTCCCCATTTCAGCCTTTTCTTTTTCTGTGACGTCCTCTTCAACATCCTGTTCTTTGTGAAAGTGGGTGTCCACAATTTCTTGTGCACGTCTGATAGAAGGAGGTGTTGTATCTGGGATGTCTGGAGTCGGGAGCATAATAGAGTGAAATGTCTCTTGAGCTGCAGCCTCCAAAACTTCAGCTGCAGCTAGTGCAGCTTCAGCCTCACCCTCTTGCTTTAGAGCGTTCAGCGTTGCCTCGATGCCTTTTCAGCCTCGATGCGTACCTTCTTGACCTCCATGTCGATTTGGCGTTTGGCGTACTGGGCTCTGGTGCGGGCAGCTTCAGCGGCAGCCCGTGCTCGAGCCGCAGCCTGGCTTGCAGTTGAGCCGCCTGAGCGGCGTGATGCAGACGAGTGGGCCTCCTGGCTCCGAGTTGCGGCGTGGTCCCGGTGTGTGACATCTTGCTAGATGTAGAGAGTCTTGGCGTGTAGATAATCTTTTCACTCTTCTGCCCTCAGTTAGTCTAAGTACGTAACCTGGACAGCGAGCTAAGCATCTAAATGGCTCCAGCAATAAAATGACACGTTGTTGTTGTCGTCTTTTATTTTATTACTGAAGACCATATTTTCATTTTTGTGAAACTGTAACATACAGAACAAGGGAACATACATAAGTGCTCTTGCATACATGACTCAATAATCGACTGTGATAGACATCAGGCATCATCACGTACACTCCGAGGATAACGTCTGCTTTAGCTTAGCAACTAACGGCTAGCAATATTAGCTCACTTCAATACAGCACTGGTTGAAAGAAAATACGCCACTAAAAACGTAAAGTAAATGCAGAACACAATACAACACTACATTTTATCACATAAACTTACAGATTATGATTTGCCAAGGCTCCCAGATGAACAACGATGCCGAGAGAGGTGGCTCGACATCTTTACACGTCCCGTGCACTCATACTGCTGCATCTAGGCTACAGCTAGATCACGTATTTTGGCAATCATTCATCGTGGGAGGTGACGCTGGGCCCTGAGAGTGCAGCCTCCGGGTCTGCAGACACACCCTTCTCGCTGAATCTCACATTGGTCCCAAGGGGAGGCTATGGTCTGAAATGTATTTACAGTTACAAATGAGTGATTAAATGTTGTTTTCTTTCCTTTTAATTTATATACCATCCTCCTGATCTGGCACAATCATTAAGATATTTTTAAGAAAAAGAAAAAGTTTTTTTTGTTGATTTTAGTCATTGTTTGACGAGTAATATATGCATTAATGTGCAACTGATGATACTGTAGATCAATATAAGCATCGACACTAATAATAGTACCAGTATTGTGTATTGTTGTCATAAGACTGTATAAAAGATGGACGTAGCTACTGTGACGTCACTCGTTGGTTTCTGCACTGAGAACATGAAGCCAGGGGCTGTGTCCGAAATCATCCACTCAGTCCTTACTCCCTATACATCCATCCATCCATCCATCATCTATACACCACTTAATCCTCACTAGGGTCATGGGGGGCTGGAGTCTATCCCAGCTGACTCAGGGTGAAGGCAGGTTCACCTGGACAGGTAACCAGTCTATCACAGGGCTACACTTAGAGACAGACAACCAAGCACACTCACATTCACACCTATGGACAATTTACAATCACCGATTAACCTCAACATGTTTTTGGACCTTGTGGGAGGAAGCCAGAGAACCCGGAGAGAACCCACGCTGCACGGGGAGAACATGCAAACTGTGGAGCAGAAAGATTCCGGCGCAAACCGGCAACCTTCTTGCTGCGAGGCAATAGTGCTAACCAACCACCCTGCAGCCCCACTCCCTATCCAGTGATCCCTATATAGTACACTATGTAGGGAGCACCTCGGCCAAGTATCATTTCGGACACTACTCGAGCTGTTAATTATGTCGCTCACTAGCTGCGATTTGTGCTGCAACAGCGTAGTACCAACACATCAAATTAACAGTTTATTGCATAGCTAAGAAATCAAATTAAATCAAGTTTATTGTCATTTTGCTGTACATACCAGATGAGAGGCGTTTCTTCAGGATCCAGTAACTCAAAGCAATTTAGATAAAGTGGTGTTCAGGCCATTTATTATACTAGTCTTGTGAATTGTATACTTAATTCAAAAATATTGTAGCCTACTTGGTTCTAAATAAATACATTTTATTTGTGTCAAAGGGCCAGTGAGCTTTTGTGCTAACCCATAAGAAATCATCACCTTTGAGTGATATTTATGGCATGTGATGTAGGAGGCCAAGCTGTGACACTCTGGCTCTTAGAGAAACCTATTTTAATTGAAATAACTGGTACTAATTGTTATTATTATTATTATTACTATTATTATTATAATAATTATTATTATTATCATAGTAATAATAACAATGTATATTAATTTTAGTTTGAAATAACCTTGTGTACATTAGTCAAAAAAAAGGCTGCATGCACCAGATTTAGCAGAAAGCTAATTTTCATTTGCAGTCCTATTTATTTACATTGCTTTCTGTTTTGTGTTTGTATTTTTGTTTGTTTGTTTGTTTTTTCAATTTAAAAAAATCAATTTATTGTATCAAGCACATTGTTTGCATTGGAAGGCATTTAATGGTGTGAATCAACCGTTAAAGTTGGTAAAATTGCTCCCGTTATTGCATTATTGCTTTATTTCCCTTCTGTTGACATTTGACATGCTGTGGAACCCCACAGCCACGTAGCGTCATGTGGGCGTAGTTTGAGGGGGCGTCTTCTGTAGCGGCTGTGCCTTGGCTCCGGCTGCAGTCAGACCCTTCTCGGCGCGCAGGCAGAGAAGCAATAAACCAGGAAGAAAAAGAAGAAGAAGAAGGCAATGTGCACCAATAAACCAGGAAGTGAGTTTGAAAATTAAATTTGACTCACATACTCTAGATAATTTTGGTCAAAACATGATAAATGAATGATTTAAGTGAACCATTTTCTGTTAGCCTAGTGTTTGTATATGTACTTTGAGCAACCTCCCAAAAATATATATTTATATTTACAGGCAGTCATCTCAGGAAAAGTTGCATCCTCCTGGGCATCATCAAAGGGCAGAGTCAGAATTTTCTTTAAGAAGGATGAGCAGCTGGACAGAGTGCTGGGCTTCTTGACAAGCCTGGTTGAAACACAGGCAACCCATGTCACAATCAAGTGGCATTTGTTTTGGATGTGCTTCTGCCAGAGGTAATTTTTTTTTTTTTTAATTTATCATATCATATTTTGTATTGCTATTGTCGGTCTTTACCTTATGGTTACTATCTTGATAACTGCTACATGACAGACTACTTTAATGTCTAAATGAAAGATGTCCTTTTGTTCACCTCCTGACACAGGCAACAGTCCACTCCCTTGCAGCTGTCTGTGCAGTTTCCCTCCACAGAGCCACAGAAATCTATAAATGTGGACTGCAGTATGACTTGAAGTATGCTACAAACATAAGGAGTGTGCTAATACCTATATGTATTGTTTGTACATTGTTTATGACAACCTCTCAGTGTGAATTTCCCGTTACTAATTGCTATTTTCTTCCATTTTGTCTCATCAGTGAGAAACAGCTGTTGGCTCATTACATGGCAAAAAACATGAGCAAAGAGGCACAAAGGAAAACAAAAAACTGCGCTGAACAACTACAAAGAGCTCTGGAGTCCGAGGACTTTTTTGAAGAGGCTGTAGCTGGCCAGACATTAAATGCACCTGTGTAACCCTGTGTGGTACTTTATTGGCAATAAAACAATAAAAGCTTTTATTGTCTGATTCATTCATTCATTTGTCTGATTTTTCTTTTCTAAAATAAAACTTTTAAACTTTAGCTTTTTAAGGTACATATTTTGAAGATGGGTGTATGGTCATTTATTTTACTAATCTTGTGAATTATATACTTAATTCAAAAATATTGTAGCCTACTTGGTTCTAAATAAATACATTTTATTTGTGTCAAAGGGCCAGCGAGCTTTTGTGTTAACCCATAAGAAATCATCACCTTTGAGTGATATTTATGGCATGTGATGTAGGAGGCCAAGCTGTGACACTGTGGCTCTTAGAGAAACCTATTTTAACTGAAATAACTGCCAGTGGCGATTCTACATTTTGTGTTTAATGGGGGTCAATAGGGGGCCAATGCTATATTTTGGGGGGCCAATGATATTCGTAGATGTAGTCTGCAGCAATTTCTTGAGAAGTGTTCTTTACTTGTTCTCACATTGTATGACTAAATATAGACCTAACCTGATTAAAAAGATCTAACAACATAAACATGATCTGGAAAAGGTTTCTGGTCAGAATGTACTGGTACAACATGGGATGTACAATAACTGCTTCTTTCCACAGCAACTCATGACCCTCAGACTGATTCACAGTGAAGACTCATGTTAACAACAGCCTGATGGCTCACGGTGCATTACCATGATACATACATGTGAACACACACATGAACACAATGCTCTCCTCTGTTATATGAATAATGTTGTTCTTCATTTGCACTGAGGAACGTCTGTCTGTCCTGCTCTGGTGCTGATGATGGGCTACAGCTGCTGGACTGGTCCTGCTTTGGATGCCTGTCCTCAGAACCGTCCCCCTGAACCTGTCTGGTTCACTGGTCTGACCCTTACATGGCTTCATTTTAACTCTATTCAGGACTTTGGGGGTCTTTTGGACCTCAGGCCATTTAGTGAAGCTGACAGGTATTGTTTTTTGATTTTTAAAGATTTTATTTTTAAATATAAACAGAGGGACATGTGTCCTGCATTTGGAGCCAAAAATATGTCAGCTTCTCAGAAAATGTATTTAACATGGTATAAAAGTCTATAATAAATACCAACAATTATTTTGCACATATTCTTTCTTGGGGTCAAGTGGACCCCCAAAGACCTTCTATGAATGGCAACATGAAGTCCCGAACAGGGTTCAGATAACGAACCATGTTGGCTGTTCGTCTTTCTGATATTTCTGAGCCCGGCTGCTGCTGGAACACAGACTAAATGACACCATTCAGCTGTAACTCAAATTGTGACGGGGAATGTCCTGGCTGCTCCCAAATCATCTCTGTGTAAAGTGGCTTCATTTAACGTTAGCACATTTTCCTTGTTTAAAAAAAAAAAAAAGAAGAAGAAAAAAAACACCGTAGCAAGATCTCATGTCACATAATCATTAATGCAGCAACCCCTTGATGGTTGTTTACCATCTAGTCGGCCCGTTTCATCAGCTTCTCTACCCAATAACATCAGCTTTGTCATCAAAATGTGAAATGATGAAATACCAATAATGGCTAAATCTATGAGTTAAGAAAAAACATATCAGTAACTTGTTTGTGTTTAATTTACCGCACGTTTGAATTTGACACTCACCGTCTCAGAGTGTCCATAAGTGCAGAGTGGACGTGAGAGAAGAGGTGCGCTTGTTTTACGTTCCAGCCGCTCCCGTCACTAACACTACCACAGTACTCTATTCACCCTGCCCCCATAAAGCTGCCCTGTAACAACCAGCTAGCACTCCTCAAAGAAACTACCCAATGACAGTCAGATTCCAGCAGGGGCCATGGCCCCTGTGGCCCCTGCCCTCCCTTCGCCTATGGACACATGGTAACCATCTCAGCATAGTGACAATTTATCACCAGCATTTCACATCACTGACCCATGTTCAGGGGTCAGACTGCTCAGTGGTCAGTTTTCTCACTTCCCATTGAAGGAAGCCTCTTCGTATCTTTCTGTGCTATTCAGACATCAGCACACATCTGGACTGAATGGAAGGAAACAGTCAAACAAAACGGGCGACACCTGGGCCAACAACCAAGTTTAAGAAGTGGAAGCCTTCATGATACGTATCGACTCTGTGGACAGCAACATTAGGTTCACAACAAGGATGTCTTGGAAGATAAACTGTCTTTTTTTTTACATCCATGCTGTGCACACTGAGGAACACTGGAACTACAACCTTAAAGTACAGAAAACCTACACACACAGACCAACACCTGCTGTTTGATTCCCGCCACTGCCACTAGAACTAGAACATAAGCTGGGGGTCATTAGAACCCCAGGCTGAGAACGCATTTCAAACCTGTGGCTATTCCAGCTGGACCCTCACGAAACTGGCAAAGAAATCTAAAATAAAACACAACCACATCAAACAGTGCAGGTCAGATCCAGCAACACTGGACAAAAACTGGTTTACCTCAAGAATGAAACATCCATATGAAAACTGAGATATGGATGAGGCATCTGGAACACACCATCTGACAGTTAGAACTTAAAAGGGCCGCTTGGGTTAGAGGTGAAACGTCAAGAACTTAAGACAAGTCCAGTTGCTTTAGATCCAAGGATTACCATGACCTGGATGACAGGGAATCTACACAGACATGAGTTTGGTGGTCGAAGAAGAAATAAAATAGAGCCCATACAGAAGCATTGCTTACCTTGAACTGGAATGCTCCCTAGCTATCCATCCATCCATCATCTATACACCGCTTAATCCTCACTAGGGTCGCGGGGGGGCTGGAGCCTATCCCAGCTGACTCAGGGTGAAGGCAGGTTCACCTGGACAGGTAACCAGTCTATCACAGGGCTACACTTATACAGGTTTTAACTTGTAAATCCATCATCTATACACCTTCATCCTCACCAGGG